TCTTCTGTGCTTTCTTTTTTTTTTTTTTCAAGCAGAAGACGGCATACGAGATGGCTCCTGCGGTTGATCCTGTCTTTTATCTGTATTATTCAACTTGGAATTAATTTAATAGAGGGCCGGTGCTATTTTGGACACTTATAAGCCTAAATTGAAAATCCACACAGAAAACGGGACGAGCACAAACGTTTTAATCGAAGAATGCACCGTCGCGCAGCATTGCGTGACATCGTCCCATGAGACAGACTGGCTGTCGCGCACCATTGCGCGACATTGTCGTCAACGTGTTAAACGAGTAAAAAGAAATACTGGTAGAATACACGTGTAGTATAATAGTTTAGTTGGGATAACCGAGCCCTTTGTAGGAATGAAGTGCTTTATCGCGAAAATTTCAGATTAATGTGCAGGAATCATCAGTTTAACCTTCCTTCTAACACAACATCAGTTACACACAATTAAAGGACTATTACATCGCGTATTAACGTGTTCCGTTTGATGCTGTTTCCCCTTTTTTTGTAGTAGAATGACAATGACCCAGGATTTTCTGAAGTGGTATGATCTCCCATTCCCGAATTTGGGCCTCTTCCTGAGCTTTTACTGTTGAAGTTTTTAGGCTTCGCTTCGCTCCATTTGTACCTAGCACTTTTGACAAAGTTCTATCCTCGGCGTTCACGTGAGACAATCTTTCTCATGTTATAAGTTTGATAGCAGTGACAAAATCGCAATTGCCTCCGATTCAACAACAATGGCAATGGCACAGATGGGAAATGTTCAGCCAGTTGTTCACGAGACCAGGGAAACGAACGCAGTGAAGTGAAACGGAATAAGTAAAAGTTTGTGTCCAACGAACTTCCAAAGCAATGAAACGTTCCAGGAACGAAATGGATCGCTGGTATCCTCGAGGATAATATAAACCAAACCCGCTTACATAAGTTAAGTGGAGACACAGTAAGCGACCACAGTGAGCAAAACAGGCAGAGCTATTTATCTAAATCTCTCAATGAAACTTGATTAGAGCGAAACGGCTGCAGTAAATTCAACGCTCGCATCGTGATTCCCGCCTCCTTTGTCACTGGGGCGCTGATTTGAAGTAGAGCAGACTACCCCACCGGCTCGTCCTTGATATGACAACACCACAGATATTAACGTTTTTGAGTTGCTGATACAGTACCCGAGCTAGTTTTCATAGGATTGCAAGCAATTTGTAAATTATAACCCGCTCATTATGTTTGCTGTTGGAAGAATCGTTCAAGTTTTAAAAAGTTTTCTGATTGGTCATTTTTCTTGGCTGCATGGCAAAGTTTAATTCATTATCGAGAATCCAGCTAACAGTGCAGTTGCTAATTGGAGTGATTGCATTACTCCAATCAGTTACAATTTCCACTTTAGATTGTTTGCGGTAATGGCTTCAGATGAGCAATCTCCAGGCGTGGTTTTGTCGAGAATTGCGTCCATAGAAGGAAAGGTAGGTGTTAGATTAGATGTTTGGCTTCGTCACTAGTGGGATTTGTTTCAGATCAGACATATATGCGACTTGATACCTATCTCGACTTGGGGTTTCACAGCTGAAGTCCACAAAAAGCTGCGAGAAAGAAAACACAGGATTGTGAATCAACAGCTCACAATCAGTATGTCGTCACATTTTGAGCCATCACTTCCATTTAGGCTTCATTTATTGTTCAATGTTTTAGAAGAAAAGCAGAAGCTAACGAAAAACAAAAAGCAGCAAGTTGCACGAAGTGTGGGTGGCATTTGTAACAAGGTTTCCGAAGTCATTGATTTACTCTCTACTTCTCATGGAAGGGACACTAAGGTTAAGAAGGTCAGGCGGAGCGTAGTCTCGTAAATGTTTGTATCTTTGTATTCTTTTGACATCTTTCTGTTGATCCAGTCAGTTGATCCCTCAACTCAACCCAAGTTAGAGGACCGGAAAAAGCAAACAGAGAAGGAAGAAAAGATGAGGAAAGTAGGTTTATACAAATATTCACTGCTCGTGTTAATCTGTTTTATATTTTTCCCTTGTTTATTCTCCTAGTGAGGCAGCATTCATTGACCATACCGATTTTCTGTTCTCATTCAGGTACCGTCAGAGCCACAAACTAGCGCCACTGAAAATTTGGTCAACGAGAAAAGTTCGGTTCCCAAGGAAGGGTTACCCTCTGGGTATGTTTGGAAATTTTCAGTTAGTTTCTTTGTATTTCGATGGGTTATCATATATTGGTTTTGTATCAACTAATGATTCGGTGTTTATACTTTGTCACTTAGCAGTGACGATTCTTCTGATGACGAAAGCACCGAGCACCATGTCGAATGTGTACCTGTTGTGAAATCGAAAAAGCGACCTTCTACTCAGCCTACTGCGGTGGAGCCGAAGAAACCTAAGTTCGATGTGGTTGGTTAACTAAGTGGTCTGACAAAGAAATATGTAAATTTCATTCAAATCAAATTTTAAGCAACTCAAAAAATAAAAAAAATAATGATAGGCTTCAAACTTTTAGAAGCCAGTTCAATGCGGAACAAAAGATCAAGCCTTGGACATTATGGAACAACGCGAGCAGGCGATCCGTAAATTGCAGGAGAAACTCAAGGCAATGAGAGGTACGTGATCGCAACCTGGAGTAAACATGCCGTGCGTATCCATCAAGTTGCTCCTCTAGTTCGTCTGGAGGTTCATACCCGTACAGCTATATATCTCGGAGGGAGTCTGTTGCTTCAATAGTTTGATAAAGGCAAGTTGTGCTATGACAATGAATAATGTAGTTTATCGAGCGTATACTCGGAAGCAGCAACTGTATTTATTTCCAAAGTGTGCACCACGCTCTTATGATCTAAATCGCCTTACGGCCGCCCTTTGTAATGAATTTGCTAGCTGCCAGGCTTCAACAATTTGATTTTTCCTCTGCATTTATAGGGGTTTATATGTCATGATGGGAAATTCACGGAGTTCATTAAGGCAGCTTTCCCCCCCCCCCCTTTGAAGCTC